ATAATTTCTTTCTCTTCTTAAGGTACATTTTCTTCTTCTAAAAAAATTGGCTTTTTTTGGTAGTGTTTTTCTTTCAAGTAACAAAAGTCAACAAAAGAGTGAGATTAAGTTGGTAAGAATATATGAATATTTTTCTGTTTATTCTCTCAGCTTCCAGTAACTTTTAGATTTAGGAAGTCCATGAATTGTGGGTAATACTATATTTAACTGACCTTGATGAATGTTTCTTCTGTGCATTTACCTAATTACTATTTAGCATCCACAAACACTATGATAAAGAGTTCCATAGTTCAATTATGCACTGTGTAAAAAGCTTTTTTATTTGTTTCCAACCTTTGTCTTGTTAATTTCCTTTTGATACCATCTGTTCACTAAGAAAAGTACAGTAATTTCTTCGTTACTGCTTTTTTTTTCCTTACAACTCAGGATTTTCAGAGTAGCTTATGATAGAGGAACCCTCTTGAGAACACCTGGTCCAACTCTTGTGCTCAAATAGAGCCATTTGGAGCAGATGGCCAGCTGGGTTTTGTGCACATCCGCTGATGGATATTGCAGCACTTCTCTGGGCAGCCTGTCCCCAAATTTGACCACCTTCACACCTCTTGTCATGTTGCTGGGCACTGTGTAGAACAGTCTGACCCCTTCTCTTCATTCCTTTCTACTGGCTGTTTATACATGCAGATAAGATATCCCTGTGCCTTCTCTTCTCTAGGCTGAGCAGCTGCAGCTCTCTCAGCCTCTCCTTATAGGGAAGTCCCTTTCTCAGCAAGTTTTTATTTTTCTTGTTCTACCCAGAACTGAACATGGCACTGCAGATTTTAAAGAACTTTTTCATATTGCTCTTCATTCATCTCCTTCCTAGACTAAAGCTTCCAGGCCCAGCTATTGGTCCTAAGTTAGGAGGCATTTTCTTCCCTTGCTTATGTTTTTTATTCATCTTCTTATTCTCTAGGCCCAATCCATTTTGAAATCCATTTTGGAATTGGACACCAATTTTTCTTTCCTTACATTCAGTGTGTGGATGCACAAGCAGACATGCAGCAGCTTGAGGATGTTCTCTATACATTCTCTAATTCTAACAAATCCTAATGTTCAATTGCTCTGTAACTGGTACTGAGAATGAAAAGATTTTTCCTTAAAATATTATGGGTATTAGAGCTGTGAAATCTCTGAATAAGCATTTCAACAGTTGGACCTGCATAATGCCAGTTTTTCCTTATGGTGATAGTGGTGGGCAGACTTTCAAAGCTTACGGAGTGCCTATAAGAAAGATGGGGGCAGACTTTTTATTCGACCTCTAGCAAATGGAAAAGGGATAGTGCTTTTAAGCTAAAAGAAGGTAAATTTAGACTCGATATTAGGAAGAAACTTTTTACAGTGAAGAGTGGTGAGGCCCTGGCACAGGTCAGCCAGAGCAGCTGTGGCTGCCCCATCCCTGGGAGTGTCTCAGGCCAGGTTGAATGGGGGGTCTGAGCAACCTGATCTGATGGAAGGTGTTCCTGCCTAAGGCAGGGGGTGTGGAACTGGATGGTTTGTAAAAATCCATTTAAACCCACATTATTCTATCATTCCATCATTTTGTAACAAATAAATCTTGGATAACAGTTTTTGCAATCCAGCACATGCCTTCATGATGAAGAGTCAGTCACAAGAAGGCATTACTGCCCCCTTAACAATAACATTTTTCAGGCTTAACTTTTGGATGTCTCTTTCCAGTTGTATCTTGTGTAATCCTAAAGTCTCTGAATATATTATCTGTTTTGTTGTCCACCAGAAGTCATTCAGCGCAGTGTAGAAATCTGACTAAAAAGATTTTACTGTGTGCTTACATAGTTTGGTTTAAAACCAATCACTGACAGTTCTTCTCACTGTGAATTAGAAAACAAAACATTAATTTCTGTTTTCTGATATTTTCAGGATGATCAAAATGAAAATGTGCACGTACACATTTTCTTTGCAGGCTTTTATGCAGCTATCCAGTGTTCCTTCTGATTTTACAATTAATTTAATTATCAGGATCTAGCTATGCTATTTACAAGTGCCTTGTCCTTTGGGCTTAGATTGTTAGTTTCTTCCATAACTATTTATATTATAGGAACACTCATTGATTCCAGACCTTTGGCAATAATCACTATGCAAATGTAATGATATGATCCTTGCTTAGAAGAGCTTGCAGATTTAAAAGGTCAAGAGAAGACAACACAGGTGGATGCAACTGATGAAATAAGAACCACTTGGATACTTGATACTTGATGCCAGATATATAGGATTTAAAGGACACTGGCAAAACTCTATACGTGAAATGGAAGACAGCTGGCATGATAGCCTGATAGCTGTGGAGGACTGGAGTGAAGTCTGTCCTTTCTTGTGCCAGCAGCAATTCACTGTAATTATTTCAAATTCAAGTAAACCTAATTTCTTCAATTATTCAAATATATATTAGTAAGGAAAAAAATCCTCCCTCTTATCCTCAGTCATGCTGGATTTTATAGAATTAAAATATGAAGGGAATAACCAATAAAATCCTCAAGAGACATTTGAAAACTGCAGTATGAGTAGAAATTCATGTTTAATTTCACATAATTCCTGCAAATCTCTACCTTAGAAAAGTTAGTGATTTATGCCTTGTCTGGCATCTTTCCACTACCAGGAACTGAACATATTTGCTATTTTAAGCTTCAAAAAACACCTGAAAGCAGGTAAATAAGAGAGAGCAGAGAAAGTCTGTCTGAAGCCTAGCTATCATGGCAACTTGCATTCAATAAGAAGATTCAGAGCCCAAGTTGGGTATATGAGAACAGCTTCTTGATTTTCTGGGACCATGTAATTATCTTTTCTGTGATTTAAGCTTGATGTGCCCAGTTGTGTGAAGTACACTTGACTCTGCTCCAGCTTCTGAGAAGCTGGCATTTCTAGAACGTGGTGCTTTCTGCTTTCTGCAACATCATCCATTAATAAATTTAGGGAAAAGCAGTGTGTCTTCTTGGGACACCACCATCTCCTATGATTCTGGGGGAAGACTGCTCTCACAGAATCTCACAGAATGCTTTGCGTTGGAAGGAATCTTAAAGACCATGTCTTTTCAACCCCCTGCCATGGGTAGGGATATTTTTCACTAACCCATGTTTCTTCAAGCCCCATCCATGGGCATTTGAGTATGAGAAAATTATCACAGTGCTTAGTGATGGGGCTTGTACTCCTTATACTTTATTGTATTTGAACGTCTCAATTTCTGGTGAAGATGGGCCCATGGAAAGATCTTTCAGGCTCATAGAAACAAAAGTAGCAAGCTGGATGAAAATGTGATAGGATTAATCCTTTTCCTGAACATTCCTGTACCTATGACTCCTCTTGGAAAGCGTGTGCATGACTAGAGAGTCAAACAAATTAAAGCCTGGATGAACACTTAATCCACAACTCACAGTGAATTCCACTACTCAGAGTCTGCATGCCCATGGCTATGACCTCCTTTAAAGATGGAGATGGCTCAGTGCCTTGAACCTCTCTGCTGACAACTAGGAGGACCTGACTCTTAAAATTGTTAGGAATACCCTCTGTTTGGTTCTTTCAAGGAACATGCCAGTACTGGAAAGCAGAATTGTCATGTGTATTTTGGCTTCATACAAATCCCTGCATCGAGTTCCCAGCATGGTCCACATAAATCTATTCAGCATTGTCAGTGGAATTTAGTAATTTCAGGATCAGCCCTTACTAAAGCAGGCATATGGGCCTTGATCCAATTTGGCTAAAATGAAGAACACAGTGCCATTTGCAATGGCCTGAGGTAGCCAAGACTGCCATTGCAGGGTGACAAAGACAACATGGAAAACATGGTTATATCCATGCTCCCATAGAGCAATACCTAGAGTCCAGGAAGGATAGTGGTTAAATTGAGGATCTACCTTGAATAAATTTCCTTTAGAAATCATAATCCGTGATCCAAATGAAAAGCGAAGGGTGGTGATCCTTACCTTCTAGTCTGACAAGGCATATGGGAAGATGAGATTATTGAGCAGTTATCCATGGGTAGTAAAGAATTGAACAGGGTCCTGTAGATACTGGAACATGCAGGATCATAACATGCATGCAGCTGGCAGCTTTAATCTAGTATAATTCAAATAGGGGTAATTGCCCCAAATCTGTGTCAATATGGTAGTAACTGCAGTGGCCCCAGATTCCTCCTCAATGCTTCTGCATTTCAGTATTTTGTGCAGCTGAATTCAAGCATTCAGTGACTATGACTTCAGAGAGAGTCTAATTCAAGACTGACACTGCAATCACAAAACTCAGGACAGCTGGTAACCTCACCACCATAGCTGTGCCTGCCTTTGCCCCAGGGCTGAAAAATGGCAATGGCTACAACAGAACTCATTATGAGCAACAAAACTAGCAACCTTTATGACTGAACAGAAGGCTCAACACTAAAACTATTGAGGAACATTTGTAGGTACATGACCAGGGACATAAACATGGACAATCAAATAATGAAATAGTGAAAAAGCATATGCTAAGCAAGCCTTTTGTATACACACATAATAGAGATGTAGGACTGAGCTGTAGGCATCCTGATTTATGCTGATTTCCAAGTTTGAAATGAGTTGTTCTTGCTCATTTATACACCTGAAACTAAACAAGAAAACAATTCTTTGGACTCATAATTCTCAGTTGTTCTTGTACAGCCCCATTTGCACTCCATGTGGTGATAAATTATAAAAAAATCATACAGCTTTTAGCTATTCTTCTGGCTTTATCTCTTCACTGAATGCAATAATTTATCTGTTACAACATATAAAATCAGGGTCAGGTACACACTAAGCTGGACAACATGTATGCAGGAAACATGGACACTGATAAAAGGCCTGACAATGTGTCTTGTAGCTATTGCTTGCTTAAGCTGAAAACCTGATGTATTTCAGTTTAGTTTTACTTGTGTATGTACAGAACTGTAGGATTAATTAATGAAAGCACAGAAACATATTCATTTTCCCTATTTTTTCTAGAACTTTCTAATACAGAAGGGTGGAGAGAACTGCCAGAACACTGAGAGGATCAGGAGTTCCAGCAAATTTCTTCAGGCACCTTTGAGCTTTAAGGTATGGAACAAACAAAAGCCAATGAACCAAGTCTGAGCACAAAGTGTGATCAAAACACACTGCTATTTGGCAAGTTATAATGGCATTTCCCAGATCCATCTCCAATTAAATCCCCAAACTGTGGTACTTTTTGTGTGAACAAGTTAAAAATGGGTTCTGCACCACTGAGTTTACAGAGCTGGGAGGGAAATGGAAGTTCAAGAAGCAAAAAATCTTCAAGGCCAATGGACAACATGCCATGGTTGTAGCACAGAGCCTCTCAGTTTGGGTTTCAAAAGTAGCATTTGTCAAGTTAAAAGGAGAACAGGAGCTGACACCTGTCATCTCCTCATTTGGAGTAAGATGCCACAGAGCACCTTGTTACTGGCATGCTGCAACTTGGAAAAGATAAATGCAATACTGCCTAATATCCTTGAAAATGTACCACCTACAGGTTTTAGTAAATTTTGTAGATTAACCATGCAAAACATCTCTGAACTATATAACCACATTATTTCCCATATTCAGGATTTCAACAAGTACAGGTCTTACAGGTCTCCACAGTCAGGTCTCTGCCATGTAGTTAGCTTTCCCAAGGTTTGCAGCTGTACTCTCCCTTGGAAAAGCAGAACCTGACCAGAGACCTCAGCTGAATCATTCCTTTAAAGAAAGAGCTTCCTGCCATGCCAGTGAAGTCCTCATCCCTGAGGCTGGTGAATGACTCAGACAACCATCACTGAACCAACATCTCCCCTTCACTGTCCTGGGGTCAGAAAACAGCATCTGAGACTGTCACTGCAGGATCAGGGAAGTTACCTACGTAAGAATAGCTCCCAGCAGGGACAGACAAAGAGAAAAATTCCAAGTTTAAGGTGAAGTGGAAGCTGCATACTTCAGGGAGTAAACACTGCTACTAGACCAGCTGTGCTTTCATCAGAAATCTCTCACTTGTATGTCACTTAGTGAAAATACAGCATTAGAAAAATGATGGGACAGCTGAAAGCACTGAGTGAGTATAACTGGTATCACTAGATAAGGGCAAAAAAACCCAATCCAGTATTTATTAGAAAACAAAAAAAGCTGGACAAGATGCTACACCATTAGGTAGGCAAGATGCACAGCCATCTCTCTGTACATGCACCTGGACATGGGACTTAGGTTACGCCACCTAAAGTTCAAAGGGAAGAAATTTGTGGCTGTTTTGTTAAAAGTAGAGATTCTACCTAAATACTTTGTATCTTCTCAGCTAGAAAACTGTTCATATATATCTGTGCAAGAAAATAAACTTACCTAAAAGGAAAAAACCTTTTTTTTTGTAATGTGAGTTTTTCACTCTGTAATAAGTGAGAGATGTTAAATTAGATTTGAGAGAGAAAACACTTTGATGCCCAGTGAAAGAAGACACACCAAAAAAAGGACTGTGGCAAATTACCTTCCCACTTAATAAATGAGGTAGAGACAAAGTAGTTTGTTTTCCACTTTGAGATGTGTATCTGTATGATTCACCTGTTAGATTATCCAGTCAATATCTAAACACAGAGCAAGAGAAATAAAATGGAATTATCTGACTGTCACTGTAGGACACAGGCTGGACCAAAGTGAATTGTCTGACCATGGAAGAAAGGATTCCAAAGCTACCCAGACTGCCCACACTGGTTCAGCCACACCTCCTCATCTTTTCCTACATTGCAGGTTATGAACACTGACCCTTGTAAACTGCCATCTTGTGATCCCTCACCACGGATCAAGAGGATACTCTTCTGTCACAGAAAGGAATTCCAAATGCTTAAGTTTTGCACAGTTTCTAATTGCAGAGATGTTTTATTTGTAATTTAAGTACCTCCCTGGGGTATAGCTTAATTCCCTTTGGAAAGGACTGTCCCACATGCAGCTGAAGTGATTAATGCCTGTATGTAGATGAGCTATGAATTCTTCCCCAAGCAGTGCCCTCCCTGTTTCAGGTTTGAACCCAGGCAGGTCAACCACTTCACAATACTCAGGAAGCAACAGGAGTTGGGCATTTTATCCTCCAAAATGAAATTTCTTTCCCCCTTGAAGGGTCCAGTCTAAATGACAGAAGGACAGGCAGGCACCAATATCACACTAGAGTAGACTCACTATTACAAAGACTCATCGCATCAGCTGAAGCGGTTACAAAAATCTATTTTAACACAATCCACCTGCAATCTGTTTTCAATGACTCCCTTAAGACTCCTTAAATGTAGGAGCTTCAGATAATTCATAATAACCACAGTATTTTACCATCTGCTGATGATACCAGGTCTTGTGAGTAAAAGCTCTCCCGACTACAAAGGCAGGCCATTTAGACTACCTCTCTTTCTGCTATCCCCACTCTGCAAGGGGGTATTATAATACCTATTCACTGTTCTTTCCTCCCTTTTCCAAAATCATTATTCCTGTAAAGCCTTGCAAAAGCACTTTTTATTTTAAACTGCACACAACAACAACACCAGGGGCCTGTCTGTAAGAACAGGGATGTTTCTTGCCAAAAGTAGAGGTCTTTTGTATAAAACACATAGAGTACATTCACATCTTTCTCATTCCACTACCCTGCCTACCCCAGAAATCCTACTTTGGCAATAATTGCTTCTTCACCCCCAAAAGAAAAGCCTACTCTGGGGCACCTTCTACTCCTGATGCACTGGCAGTTGAAAACAACCAAGGACAGTCTACATTAGGGAAGGAAAAATCAAATTATTTAATTTGCTTCTCTCACCCTCGATCCGATCCCAAAGAACCATTACAGAATCTGTAAGACGAAAGATCAGTATGAGACCAAGATGAATGCTGAAAGGCAAACAAAGCACCTACAAAGCAGTTTTATTGTACTTTTTATCTTAAGTTATATGAAATACAACTGCTGGTCAAAATAAGTCCGTGGCAAAATTACTGACTGCTTTATTTCTTTTGCTCTGTAACGCTTCCTGGAGAGACTTAAAAGGGTGACTTTTGACAAATTACTCTGTGACACTGTCTTGGTTTGGAAAGACAAGTGTCTACTAAGGAAGGCAGAAGCCTCCTCTGAAATGGAAAAAAAAAAATGCAGACCCCCTCTGTCTGAATTGTTATAAATTTGAAATTAAGGGGGACTCTCAGGCAAAAATACAGGAGCAGGAATAACAATTCTTCCTTCGTGAAGAAAACAACAAAAAAACCCCCAACAATTATAACAAAGATACATTAAACAAAAGATAAACAATAAAACAAAACAACACTGACAGAGTCAGAATACCACTTGACACCCTGTTTGACGTGTTGGCAGCAGTCCAATTGGAATTGTGGCTGCAGTCCTCCTGGATGTCAGGTGTGGGTCTGTTGGAGCAGTGATCCTGTAGAAAAGAGTGTAGTTTTCCTCCGAAAATGCAGTGGAAGAGGCAGCTGTTCCTCTGGGAATCCAACGCAGAAAAAGCTGTGCTGGTGAGCCAGAAATTCAAGATTATATCCAGGTAGGAATGCTTGGCTTCTCCCTCTGGGCGGAGCATCTCACAATAGGATGCTGCAACTTTTATCAGTTATGCAGTGGCACTCAATAGGCCATTAACAGCAGATGTCTCCCAGGGGCAGGGGGGAGGGAGGATTGTTTTGTGGAAGAGATAAGGAACAACTGCCCAATTATGAGAAGATAAACTGCCACACCTCTAACAGATGGCAACTGAATACATCTTGCCTTGCAACCTAGGACAGACACCCCTGGTACAGCCTGGTTTCCTACCATATGCTGCTCCATGCTCCAGTACACATGACAGAGCTCACTGTCTCACCCCAAGCAGAGCTGAGTGGCTGTGTTTACCCCGTTTATGCACTCACACTAGTAGAAGTGCAGGGTAAAACTCCTGTTTGACATTCACATGGGTACTATCGCCTGACTGGGGTTCTACCTTTGTGAAATATACAAGGATTTCACCTTATGGAACTGTACTCCTCAAGACAGAATTTTATGTAGTTATTCAAGGGATTCAGAATTTATTAGAGACAACAGACACATAATACACTCATGGTATTATACAGTGATATCAAGCCATGATAGATAACCTATTATACATATTAAAACCAGTAAGTCAAAGATTTTACCGGACTATTTGGTAACATACCAAAAAAGGAAAATCTTTCATTTAAAACAAAGTAACTTATTTACCCTCGGCAACCCAGCTTGCTTGGTTTTCTTCTTTTCACCTGTCTATTTTACTTCACATAAATTATGCCACATGAAGGGCTAAGAGCCATTATATTTTACAAAACAAAGTCAGAACTTTTATAAGACTATTAAAAAAATAAACTTATTGATGTTTTTCAATTTTCAACAATACTTGGTATTTAGAAGATAACGCCTAAAGTATAAATCTACTTGTATCAAGTATGTTGTAGCAGCCTCAGTGTTGTCCTGTTTGTCATTCTATAAAAGTTCCTATGAGCTAGGAACAGAATAAGCGTATCAGCGTAAAAAAAGCCACTAGCTGGATGAAAGACATATCCAGTTGGTCAGTACTCACTGTTTTACAAAATTCTTTGGAAAATACACTGAAAATATATGCAGTCGCTTCACATGCAGAAACATAGCTGAACACACTGGCTGGATTATTTCCCACTGATTCAGGCAAGCTTTTCTGCTTCTGTGCCTGATATTCTCTGTAGGTGAACTACAGTGAAATCTGGCTCTTCCTAAGCCTTACCTACTGTAATGACATTCCACTTGGGTTCACATGCTAACATTTATAACTTAAGACTACAGTTGTAATAGGCTATTGCATAGTCCAGCCTATGAAACAGGTTAATTCTAAAACACAAGACATAATGAACAACCATGCATTTATAAAGGTCAATATTTAACAGTTTATAAACATCTCTGCAAAGTAAAATGTATTGTAGGATTGAGTTAATGATGTCTTTTGGGTTTTAATAAGGAGACAACCTTGGCCTGTCTGGTCAGCTGGTACACAGCAGGTCATGCCCATATGCTTCATAATTAGACTTGAGCAGGAATAACAGGAAGTTTTCTTCAAAAGAAATAGATGAAAAATCCTACAAAATGTACAGGTGAAAGGGCTGAGGTCAGAGACAAGAACTCAAGACAAATGAAGTGTGGCTGCTTCATAAAGATCAGAAGTTGTCTGAGCACGTAGGATGCACATTTGAAACATATTAAAAGAGAAAGACTTTTTTTTTGCATTCTCTCTGAACATCTGAGAAATCCAGGCTCTCAGAATTATACTCGGAAGATGCCACAAAGCACTGTACATAGAACAAGTTAATGCGAAACACAGACAGTAGAGGAGTATATAAGCCTGACAGAAAAAAAAAAACAAACAAATCACAAGAAAATAATCATTACTACTTCTCCAAAGAAGAGCGAGCTAAAGATAAGAGGGGCTAAAGATACTGTGGCTCTTCTGTGGCACTGTGTATTCCTAGACAACATGAGCACCAAGAAACTAGGGTAGTGGAGTTCTTAAATCACACATACAGGGGAAAAAAGGGACAAAAGCACAAAGCAAAATTGACTCAAAAATACCAGTCAGATTCACATTCAAATCAGTCCCTCTTATCTTTATAACTGGGAATAATTTTTCCTGACTTAAAATGTTATTTAAAAAATACGGGACTATTAGAGCACCCTTTGAAGAGAGCCACACATTCATGAAGAGCTAATTACATTACTGATCATACAAACCAGATTCATTATGAACTCTACATGTGGCACAAAAGTAATTTAATGTGTAGCATTATTCCAGCATCAAGTAAACTGAGAAGTGAAAATCCTTGCAAAAAGACAGTAGTTACAAACATCATCACCTCTAGTGTGCCATGTCTCAGCAAGTAAGATTAAAAAGACAAAACAGAACACCTCAAGACTGCAACAACAAAGGTTTTTATTAGAGTGAAGAATATATAATCACTGTACAGAAAATATCTGAAGTGTGAAATACTGAATTGCTCACTGTGCATTCCCGTTGCTGAGCCTGTTAGTGATCTGCCTACAGCTGGGGTAACTTATCAGCACTTAAAAACACTTTTATAAGCAGGCAGGAAATGATTGTCCGTTCTAAACGATAACATTGCCTAAGGCAGAAAATAAAGGATCATATGAATTATATTAAAAACTTACTCAAGGAACAAAGTGGTTAGGGAGGGATGAGAGGGGATTACCCTAGTTTTGTGAGGGGTTTTTCTGCACCAAGAAACTGTAGCCTTCCTGCTTTAGCTTTGTATCTACTTCTATTTTTAAATAAAAAATATATTAACACAAACAAGAATTCTCCATTAAATCCAACCTCTTCCAATTTTCTCTGGCTTGAGAGGACGTTGCTTCTGTCAACCTTTGAGGCTCCCAAGGATGGTACAAACAATCATCTTCCTTTAAAAAATGGTTGGTTTTGAACCTTTAATGAACAGAGATTCAAAAACCTTATCTACTTTCTGAGTTCTTAGTTCTTCACACTATTAAATCTGCAGCTTTTGCTTTCCAAACTGTTTGGTGAAGTCTACAAGGGCTTGAGAAAGCCTCTGTTTTGAGCATTTGCTTGTTTCCACCAAGAGCAGGCAAAAAACTTATTTTCTCCAATACTGAAAGAAAAGAAAAAAAAACACAACAGCACAGAGGTTACTCAATCTGCTTTACTCTCAAAGAACAAATGCTATGCACAAATTGAATTCTGTCTTGAAAAACATGGTGAAATGTGTAAAGGTAGATAATTCTCACAACCTTTTAAGGGAAAAAGCAGAAGCCAAATCTATGTGCCCCTTGACCAATTATTTTATCCAATATACACACAGTCCTGGTGGTAGACATTCCCTATCTTATTTTGACATTCAATAGGAAGAAAAACAGAAGCCCTATGCTGAGGTGCCTGCATCCCCTGATGCAGAAGCACTGGGATTACAGCCTGGAGATATTCTAAATCCATGCAACCTCAACAGCTGAAACTGAGTTTGCTCCTAAACAGGTATCAGCCAACCATTAAAAAAGACCCCAAAACTTTACAGTTACAGTTTAGTTGAGACACCCTGTATCCCACAAGCTTTTTTAATCACTGCTGACTATTTTAGCCCTGAATACAACTGACTTGATTTGTAAATTTAAAAGGGAAATAAAATGTGCAACTAGATACTTCAACTGTAGATTGTTTCCTTCCTCTGCAGAAATAAATAATGCTGCTAAAATGAAGTGACTCTCCAGGGAGAATGGCTATCTAGTCTTCATTAGAATCAACTAAAATTAGTATGCACCTTTTCCTCCTCTTGAGAACTATTGTAACAACACCATTATCTTATTCTGAATACTAAATTTATTTACTTTTGAGACAACTTTTTTTTTATAACCATTAAGGAGACAGGCAGTGCATGAAAAGGTCTGTAAAATATCTGATAAAATAACAGATTAAAGAAACATTAGAAAAAAAAAAAGTTTCATAATACAGCTGTAAACTGAACGCAATTTAGTATTTTGTTATACAAGAACAATACTGAGCTGATTCCAAAACATCCAGAGTACTTTATCCAAGAGCTTTACTTAATGCAGAGTGACATATACAACACTGAAATACCATGGTTACTGTAATAACTAGCCTTGTTAAAAAGCTCTTAAGTGCTGCAGTAGACTGCACAGGTTCTTCACAGGCCTACTTTGAAGGCATTAAAAGAATAAATATCTACTGATAAACAAAAAATTTGTTGAACAGCATTTGAAATTAAATATTGTGTGGCATTAGGCCAAATCTGCTGTTTTCACTTGTGTCGTAACACCTGTGTAGCGTTGGGGTTTTTTCCAGACAACTTACAATACTATGAAAAACAAGGCCATTGGCAATTCAATGCAGAATTATAGATGAATGAACTGAAAGCTTCAATTGGCCATTGAGCAAGGTGACCCCTTTACAGCAAATTCACGACCCATTAATTGTTCATATGTTTAATGATTTGCAGACTCCACGAAGACTACAGCAACAAATGCTTAAGACTGCCTCAGACAAAAAGGAAAGATAATGATTTTGACTGATGAAGTAATAAATGTCGCTAAGAAGCATCCCATTTCACCCATAATACAGAAATAGACATTAATTACACTTAATTTTCATTGGGTTTCTTTGAAGTATTTAAAAAAAAATTACATTAATAAAGCACAGATTCTTAAGACTTGTCAACTGCTGATTAATCTTTGTTCTTTTTGCATCCTCCTCACACTTGCAATCCACTATTTTTGCAGGAGAAAGCCTGCAAGCCTGTATTTTTTAGAGTATGAATAAAGGCAATAACTGGAACTTCAAAACTAGCATCACATAAAGTCATGAGATGCCTTTAGCACTTACAAATCAAGACACGTGTTTTTCATTCTAGGCACTGGATGCCCAAAGCAGAAAGGAAAGCTAAAAGCACATATGTTGCACACTCTGCAACAGTGCACAAAGATTGCACAGAGCCTCAGGAAAATACCTCTGTAATGAAATTCAGCACAGGTCAGCTGGAGAGGTAAAAACCACAAAGTAAGATAACTGTATCAGGCCTACATTAGTGGCTGTCACATCTGCTTACTTGGTATCCAAAGTGTAACACATTAGTGGGCTTGCATATTAACTGCCAAAAATATGAATGGAAGATGCAATCAGTGCCTACTGGAATGTGTAAGCTTTTTGCTTAGAACACCATTCCTGGGAGCCAGAATCACAGAACAGTTTGGTTGGAAGGGACCTTAAAGATAACTAATCCAAGCCCTTCTGCCATAGGCTGGGACACCCTCCACTAAATCAGGTTGCTCAGAGCCCCATCCCACAGAAATCTGGAATAACATTCCTGGGTACTTTTAAATATTCTGAACAAATCTGTCCTGTGATTTTAAAAGCAGGGTTAAGAACTGAAGAACTATCAAGAAAAACAAGCCTGAATGGAAAAGGAAAAGGTCACCCGAATCAAACCTGTAATACACTTTCACAAATACAGTAATAATTATCTGGGAGAGTGTGGCAGGCACCTAAGGCAAATGAAGTAAAAAGACATGTCTTAAAAAAAACCAGTGACTGTCAGTATTTAATGAAAAGAAAGGCCTACACACATACTGGACAAACTTAAAACTTCAAACTTGAATATTTCTAATAGCTTTTTTTTTTTTTTTTTTTTTTTTTTTTTTTTAACCCTAAGGCCAATGCCAGGTTTTTTTCACTTTTTTTTTGAAATTACCATCCTACAGCCAAAGTTCAAAGTAATCCATAGTGAATGACAGCAAATTTTACATAATTTCCATATAGTTACACTTCCTTTTTTCAAGTCTCATAAAACATCAGCTTTATTAAATATATATGTAGGTGGAAATGAAATTATTTCTTCTCATCCTGCACTACAGTGCAATTCTTCAAAATAAAACTACATTTGAAGTAAAGAAGAGATGCTTTTTAGCAAAATGGATAGCCATAGCAATACTTCTCCTCAGTTCATATCGGAATTTGACTAGCCTTTTGAAGAAAGAATTGATTAAAAACCAGGATAATGACTGGCTTTTCAGAGCTGTTTAACTTTTCCCCTTCATTCCATTTCTTGTCATGGTCTAATACTTAAGGCGAACAGTGTAATATCTTAAATCCCCTATAAACACAAACTAAATGTCAGATGGTTTTAAGGAAAAAAATTAATTGGAAATTCAAAGCAGAAATGCTTTTGTAAATACAATTTTATTTAACATGGGAATCGAGTATTTTATTGTCTCAGTGTGTATTGTACCATTACAGTACAGAGTATAAGATGTTGGGTTAAACACTTAATTCTTCAAAGAGGGTATATTGTAATAACAAAAGTAACATAGGCAATAATTTATTGTCAACCCAGATCATCAGCAAGAAGACTGCTGTAAGGTCTTCCTGGAGCCTTCTCTTCTATAGTCTGAAAAATCCTAGCTCTCTCAGACTGTCTCCCTAGTAGAGGTGCTCCAGTCCTCTGATAACTTTTGAAGCCCTCTGGACCTTCCCCAGCAGGACCCTGTCCTTCCCATGCTGGGAGCCCAGGGCTGGATGCAGTGCTCCAGGTGGGTCTCAGCAGAGCAGAGCAGAGGGGCAGAATCCCCTCCCTCCCCTGCTGCCCACGGGGCTCTGGATGCAGCCCAGGACACGTTTGGCTCTCTGGGCTGTGAGTGCCATGGCCGGGCCATGTGCAGCCTCTCACCCACAGCACCCCCAAGTCCTTCTGGGCAGGGCTGCTCTGGGTCTGTTCATTCCCCAGCCTGGATGGGCATCAGAAGTTGCCTTGTCCCAGATGCCAGACCTTACATGATTGCTAAGATGCTTAAAAAAATTTTATAGGACCTCTACAAGCTTGCTCTCCAGTCCTAGGACCTCTACAACATTGTTCTCCAGTCCTTATAACTAAAACAGATTCATCTTGTAGTAAAATGAACTAAAACTTACCACTTGCAACCTCTCACCTTAGCTACCACAGAGACCAGCAACTGAGAAGAAAATACCTCACCTGTGCAAACTTGTGTATCTGCTCCACAACAGCTGCAAAGAGGGCATGAACACTCTCATCAATTAGACTCTGCATATAATGGACAGCTTCTTCATCAGACAGGTCCAAACGAAACTTGTCCTGCACCTGGAATGGGAGTGGTAATGGCTAAAATCAGTTCAATGATTAAAGACATGCATTATTCTATCAATGTATACAGAAGACACCGTGATTTTGGTGTTTAGTGGAGAATTAGTGTTTAATGTTTGGCTGTTTAGTTTAGCTCTTCCTTCTAAGCTACAACAGATGGTTGGAAATGTACAATGTTATTAAAAACACATAAAACCTTTAATAAAAGATAGTGTATATATAAGCTAGAAACAATCACCTAATTCAAACTAGTAATTTCAAAGCTCAAGGTTAAAACGTCAAGAGAAACACTTGGGAATACAAGTTTAAGTGGAACTGAAATGCTATGAGAAAAAGAGGTAACATTCAACATTCACTAGAGAATGAAATGCCGCTTGAGAAAAAACACAGAACTTCACATATTAAATACAAATTTGGAAGGGTCTAGATGATCCTAATGATTTTAGAAAGGATGTAACACTTTGTTACTCTAAACTTATTTTTAGGTAACATTTGTCTTTCAGAAACTGTAGGGCAGTTAAGTAAAAAATACAGAATGGGAGGAAAGTGTGAGCAAATCAACTCCATCAAAACTGACCTTTGTATGGTAAGTGTGAATTTCATTAACTGTATCCACCAGCCATGAACAGTTCACTGGAGACTCTTACATGTTTTTTTCTTTGACAGCAACGTTGTACCAGTAACACATTCTGCTTAGTACTTGCAACTTGTACATGAGTTAAAAGCTGAATGCACAATTATTAAGAATACAGCAATACATATATTTTCCAATTTCCATCTTGGCAATGCCAAGAACATCTATGAAGGTGCCTTTCTGTGACTTCCAACTAGTTCCAAGAAAATAGTTCAGAACTGATCCAAAATTCCCTAACATACTGGAGCCCAGCCCTAACTCCACTGAACCTAGTTTTATCTTCTTTCTCCTTGAATTTTCTTCTGATGAGCCTATATCCTAGCACTGACTAAGCAATATTATGGCCATCATTTAAAGTACTAGTTACCTTGCAAAGTAGTGTTGGTAACAGTAAGTAAATTGTCCAGCAAATTCACATTAGTTGTAGATTTATTGTTGCCATGTTGTCACATGCTTTATTCTCATAAAGATAAATCTCAAACAATTCAAGCTCTTGTGGAGACCATCATATTGAAGTATATCAGCCTCCTGCACAATGAACTAGGTAAAATGGTATCAAACAATCTCTTTTACCCTATCTTTATGCCAAGTCAGAATGTTTCACATCCTAGGAAAATTGTTTCAATGATTAATTGTCCTGTTTAACAACTGTGACTTATTTGCTATCTGAATTTGTCCAATTTCAATCTCAAACAGTTGAGCTCAAAACTTTTTATATCAAAGAGCTGTCAATCAGGAATCTCTCATGTAGGCAAATATCCAATTATTTAAGTTGTTTCTTAATCTTCTCATGATTGTGACTGTAAGACAGAGTCAAGTCTTTCCTGAACATTTTCTAGGAATTCACTGTTTGCTAGCCATTGACAAAAATGTAAGCTATTTCAACAATTTTCATAATAAGGTTGAATTTGTGAGGTGATACTACCTTTATGTCCTATTTTTTATGCTTTCTATGCACCAGGGATACCACATACTCAACCACTCTCTTTATGAGAGCAAAAATGCTTCAGGATTTCAGTTGCGTATTAACTGATTTCTGTTTAGTATGACTCTGTGTTCCTTTCAAAGGCAATATATTCCAAAATAGTGCCCTTCAACACTGTAATAAAGAGCCTAAGCTAGCCAGCACAGTATGGAAAGATTAAAGAATCCTTTAGGTTGGGAAAGTTTCTTCATTCAAAATTATCTTTATAACTTTTTGCTGTTATGTTTGAAATAAGTATAAAGTGAGTTTCTCCTCAACTTCCTCTCAAAAAGATATTTGATCAATAATAATTAATTTATTAATTAATTTAAGCCAATAAAGTTCAAACTTCTAATTAAGCATGTTACCAGTGAGAGAGTCAGCAGATTATTCCAATAAGTTCTTGTTACAAAGAACTTTCATCTTCATAACAAACAAGAGGAGAAGGAAGTTTATTAACCCTCACATCAGAAGTTTTCGACAGTAAATGATGTACACAGTAGAATCCAACAGAATTTAATCGACTACTCACATGCTTGCAATTATGCAAAAGCTTAAATAAATGTCCAAATTACAGAAGAGATTTCTTTCAGATCTAATTTAGTGCTCACAGAAAAGGTGATGTTAATGAGAATTCATCAAAATCAGTAAGTCCAGTTTCAAGAAAAATAGAAAAAAAAATCACCATAACACTCTTTTACACAACTTTAATAATCAAATATTTTGGCAATCTTCTAATTTGTTCATAGAAGACCTTCTCAGAATTTCTGCAGTTAGTTATATTAAGATGCAGCTTCATTATATGGATTTAATGACTAATTAAACCCACTTCCCAAAAAACATTGGGCACACTGATATACATGCAAAAAAACCATTCATTGTTAGATCTTGCAATCAGTTTGCAATTAACAGAAGGCTCAAATGATGCCCAGTATTGAATCTTTGCTTTCAAGTTTTTTAGCCCTGCATGAAAACCGACCGCTGAAAACTAGATGAGAAGAAACAAGGCAAAATTACAAATAACCTCTTGAGCTGCAACAGCAGCAACAAGATTAATACGCACTAACTTATAGTTCCTGTAGGAAAGCAACAGTAATTCTTATTTGAAATCTCTCAAGTTTCAATGTGGGATGAGTTCTGACAGTTTCTCACAGATGAGGTTAACAGGAAGAGATTTTTGCATGGTATTAAAAATACAGGTAAACTTGGGGGGTGAAATTCTGATGACATATACAGTTATCTCATTCTACACATTTATGAATGATGACCACCACAAAGGCATCAAAGACGTCCACCTGAAGACTTAGAGCTCCCACTTTGATACTTAAATAAGTGCATTGTTATAGTTCAGAATTCGTAAAACACAGAAAAAAAAAAAATAAGCTTGATGAATCTAGTTGAACTTTTGCTTTGTTTCCAGAAAAAGAAACACTAAACTCCATTTGATATACAAATACTCTTTTGAAACATTAAATCTCAACAGCAGAACTTGAATTTTCCAAGGATGAAGAGGCTAAATAAGAATAGTCTATATCAAGATACTGACTTTCAACTTGAAACTACATTAAAGTTGTCCACTTCCTATATCCCTGAAAAGAGGATAGTTTAGTATCAAAGTCTACAACAAGAGCATTAAAGAGTTGTAAGAAACTGTTTGACTAGAAATTTTGCTATACTTCAGTTAAATTTGACGTACTAAGGAAATTCTGTTTCTAAGGAAATTCTGCCAGTTACCCTGATACTGCTTCTGTTTTTCAAATGGCAAAAAATTAAAAGGACAAAATAATATCAAGAACAGTTCAGAAGAAAATATGAGGGCATGAGGGTGAGGGGACAAGCATTTAAGTGTAATGCCTGTAATAATTTACTTGTGGATTAATTTTTGATGATGAAAAATGAAGGGGATCATCACTTGCGGCAGAATCACACAGAAAATGGGAACTTAGTGAGGTATCAAGTCAAAGAAAGGGGGAAAATATTTTACAGAAATAAAAATAAAGAAACACTACTTCACACCACTATTATCCCAAAAATCTAACTCACAGGGGAAGAGCACATCTACCAGAATAACAAGCAATGTTAACTGATAGTAAACTCAGACTCCATTCTTTTCCTTGAAGTGTCTTCAAGAACTAAAAGGAGTATTTTTTGGAAAATGGCATCAAAGATGTCCTATGAAGCTGATTTCACAGAAAACTTAGAAAACTCACAGTAAGCCCCACAGAGCTGTGTAAGGTAGAAAAAAAAAGGATGACAAAAGGGAAGAGAAGAAATACTCAAGAAAACACTGATCATCTTATTAAGAATGGTAGTTAAAGACCTGAGAAACCAGGGTCTTCATTCATTTGAATGAATCTCCAAGCTCAATCTTCTGTCTTTGGCTGTTTGGAGTGTAATGGGCTTATAACTGGGAAATCATATGAAAACACAGTTGGGAGTAGTACTACTGTGAGTAAGTGCACTTCCCTGCAGAGTTCCAAGACTTTTTGCTTGTGCCTTTTGTTCTCAAAGCACAAGACTGACCTCTCCCTTCCATCAAAGAGCAGATTTCTATGGACTTCCTGTGTCCTCAAATGAGACTTACTGTCCAATATAGACCACAGTTACTATATTAAACTCAGGAATTTTTCACTAGCAAGCATCTTCTCACTTGTAAAACTTGCTCTGAAATTGATTGGTTACTTAATGCTCAAGGTTAAGACAAACTTTGGAAATTCTGTGGAAACTTTTATAATCTTCAGGGCAGCCCTCAAATCGATATTTCGTGGATACTCATAACTCTGTTTTTCAGAATTACTGGTGGGATTTTAAGGTGACATAGAAGATATACATATGGGAACCCTTTATTTATCCTATTTAGTTTTCAGAAAAAACACAACTCAGAGATTCTGAAGACTGGTGGGGCTTTAGTATTTATTTTTCCAGCAACATTAAGCAACACTTATTATGTTTTATACAATTTTATCGCTCAAGTATGGGATTGCTCATTGCAACTTCAGCTGCTTTAAAGAGAATCTTCAGTGTCCTTTTCCAGTGAGTCACAATATACACTGGCTGTAAGCACTACTAAAATGAGACAAAGATCAATTAACAGCAAAAAAAAAAGAGGAAAAAGTAGGGTTTTTTTGTGATTATTTTTACTGTTTTGCCTTATAATTATTACAGTATTCATCATCAGTATTCAGTATTCTGCCATATTACAATATTTATGTGGCAGAAACTGGCATTAATGCTTGGCTTAATTGCTATCACATTTCATCTTTTTCAGTAAATACTTTCCTGTTATTTCTGTTGCTTACAGTCCAAACAACTCACACCACAAACTATTCAGATGCTTTAATTGCATGAACTTCATTTGAGAGACTATTCTGACAACAGTCCTTGTTTCCATGGGCTCAA